CACTATGGACAATGGGGACACTGGAGGATGGACTGTCCACAGGGAAAACAGCTTTTTTGTTGCATACAGCCTCAAATTCCTAACAGCCCCCTAACTGAGGATCTAATATCAATGCTTCTGTTAGGAGACTTACAAGACCTGAATCATAAAGCCCCCGCCACTGGCGAGTCCACTGATCCATAGGTAACTGGGATGGTATCGGGAAACCGTATTTCTTTCTTCCTTGACACTGGGAAATCCAGATCAATTTTAACTGAATATGTAAGTTCCCTTAAAAAGGCCTCCTTCCCTATTGTTGGAGTAGATGGCATACCAAACACACCCAGCATAACTTTATACCCCTCTCTACTGTACTTTTGGATTTAAGTCCTTTACATACCCCTTCCCAGTAATTCCAGCTTCTCCCTTTCCAATATTAAAACAAGATATACTCCATATACTCAAAACCACCATTTTATCCTGTCCATTAATGCTGGCCAGCCCATATAATTTATTCTCCCTGTACAGGATCTTCCACAGCTCAAAACCTCTCCCCACTTCTTACAAGAAGTCAATCCCCATGTTTGGGACATATCCCATGCTTCCATAGCTTCACATCATACTCCCATTAAAGTTACTCTTAAAGACCCCTCTACCCCCATTGTCATCCCACAATATCCCTTGACCAGGAAGGGACATATGGGATTAAAATTAATTATAGATCAACTAAACATCTCTCATCTCTTATTCTCTGTTAACTCCACTTACAACACTCCTGTCCCCTAGTTAAAGAAAACCCAATGGCTCCTTTAGACTAGTCTAAGACCTCAGGAAAATCAGTGCTGCCATTAACCCTATTCATCCTGTGATTCCTGACCCTTTTACTCTTCTCTCCCAGATTCCTCCCCACACTTTTTCTTTTCATTCTGGATCTCAAGGACACCTTCTTTATGATCCCCTTACATCCCACCTCCCAGCACTTATTTGTCTCCCTATGGACAGATCTCATTACTCATCACACCTAACAATTAACCTAGACAGTTCTTTCCTAGGGATTCAGAGAATCTCCCCACTTTTTTGGCCAAGCCCTCAGCAGATCCCAATTCCCTCAATCTTTTTACAAGCAAGCTCATCCAATATATAGATGACCTCCTTCTATGTAGTCCCTCAAATCCTTATGTAAAACCCACACCATTATTCTCTTCATTCATTAACAGACTGGGGATATCAGGTATCAAAAAAATAAGGCCCAACTTATCTCAACTTCAGTGTCATTCATGGGACTTTTATTAACTTCAGGATATCGTGAAATACCTCAAAACAGAAAAACCACCATACTCCAAATTCCTTCCCCTAAGACAAAAAGGGACATCCTTTCTTTTCTAGGACTAACTGGTTATTTTAAAATCTGGATTCCTAATTATTCAATAATAGCCAAACCACTATGTGAGACTGCTAGAGGGGACTCAGATGAGACTTTATCTTGCCCCAGGGCCTTCTCACCCCTTTTAATCTCCTCAAACAAGCTTTGTCAAGGGCACCTGCACTCTCCATCCCAAACCCTGACAAAATTATTCATCTATACCTACACTCAGACAAAGGCCAAGCTTTGGGCCTGGTGGCCCAAAGTGCAGGAGATTCAATAACTCCTATAACTTACCTCTCAAAACAACTAGACTCCACTTACAGGGGCTGGCCAGCCTGCCTAAAAGTATTGGCCACAGCAGCTCTCTTAACACCAGAAGCTCAAAAAATAACTTTCAATTTACCTATGACAGTCTGGTCATCTCACAGAATTCAAGACTTAATTAGCCATAAAGCTCTTAACTCCATCTCCCCATCTTGTGTTCAGATCTTACACTCCTTTCTCTTTCAAACTGATCTAACTTTCAACAACCTTAAGTTGAAATCTATATATTATCTTTCATAAAGTCTCTCAGGCATTGAAGAAAATGTGAAGATACATTTTTCTTCAGGGGAGAATTTCTTTCATTTCAGCCTGTGAGAACTACTCTTATTCTTGCTTTCCAATAACTCCCATTTATCCTTAATCTTATCTAGGGAAATTCTCAACTCTCTCTTGAGTTTCTTACTCAGAAGTTAGCTCATTTATCTGAATCATTCTAGATCCTTTACAAGATCCTCACCAACTGAAAAAATGTTACCTACATAAAAGTGTCAGCAGTAGTACTCACATCTTCAGCAACCCAAATAACTACCAAAATTTCAAGCTTTGGTTGAATTTTTCCTACATTGTATTTTTAGTCAGATCTCCCTTTCCTGCACCACCAATCTCTGTATACAGAAGACCACAGAAATTGTATTATCTGCCCTGCCAGGGGTAACAAGAGGGACCAGGCAAACATTCTTTTTTTTTTTTTTTTCTATATTGAAACTTTATTACAAAATTATAAAGCAGAGCTCTGTAACAAAAAAATACATTTGGGTGTGCTTTAACACCCAAGTAAGTCTGAATCTTAATATAAGCCACTTGAAGTAACACATTCACATCCAAGAGATCAACAAATCTATACAATACAGAGCACAAATTTTTTGTACAGCTTATTAGTTGGCTTCAACAATTCCAATGTATTATGAACCATTCAGCTGTCCAAGTCTTTTAAAGCAAGTCTCAACTGAACTCTCACAGCAATCACAGCAAAAGCCACTGAATTGGAAGAATTAGTTGCTTTTATAATTAAGACCACAGATCGATCCACGAGAGATGAGGATTCAAGGTTTTTAAAAAAAAAAATCAGGTTTTCTACCTGGTTTAGATATTAACTGGAATGGGATCTGAGGACTCCCAACTTTTATTTTGTGTAATAACAAAGACCATACCAAAAACAAAACAAAATCAGGGTGTTTTGACACTTTTTCCCAAATGAAAACTTTCACTGAGAGCTAAGAGATTTAAAGGCAAGTTTTTTTCTTCAAAATGAATAAATGACATCAGTTTAAATTCTTTCTGAGGTTACTTCCCCTCTAGGAGGAAGTTGGGAAGTGGGGAGGTAAGGCCTCACCAGAGAAAGCAAATTGTAAGAGGGAGAGCCAGCTTCTGCCTTGGAATTACTGCTAGATCTTAATGAGCGGCATATGCATAGACCTGCTTTACAGTGGAATTGAGGAGTAGCCGAATGGCCCTTTGTTAAATTGAAGGCATTGTAAACTATAATACTTAATGACCAGCAGAAAGGTGAAAGGTGACATCATGGGAAAATCTGATTCTCCAGTTTCTACAAAAGCTGCTGCCCAGAATTAGATCATCCAGACTTAGTGTATGTTGAGGTACATGGCCCGGGTTCCACTGACAACTACTTTATGAAATTACTTAATTTCCCCAGACATTTGGTGGGTTGATGAAGGAAAGCATAGCATGTCTAATACATCCCCTTAGAGGCTTCCCTCTGCTTCCAGTCATTAGTTGTAGTTCTTCTAGTCTCAGATCTCAGTTGGGGTATGGGTGTGGTTGTTCTTTTGGGGGGCGCTTCCAAGCCCTCTAATGCTTAGGGTTTGCATAGTTTATCCACTGGGAATAGGGCACACACAGCTCTTCTGATAGCATGTGTGTTTTGTGCTTTGCTGAACTTTCCCAGTCAACTATAATCAGCTCCAGTGGTGTAAAGACCCTAAGGTGCCTCAAGAACATCAGCGACTCATGATCAAAGGGCCCAGAGAAATGCTTCATCCTGACCTGCCTGAAAAATCAATAGGCTGAGAAAGGAAATGAAAGTAGGCACTTTCAGCTGTCTGCTCCTGGGCAGAATCCAGCCTCATTTAGTACCTTCCAGTGCCTCTTAGGTTCTCCAAAAACTTCATGAGAAGTCTGACTAGAGAAGAGCAAGGCTCTGCCTCAGTCTCTATGCCTTCTGTGAGACCAAGTTTAAAACCCTTTGCCTGATGCCCTGTATAGCTATCCTTATCTCAACCAGCAAAAACCCTTGTTCCTTCCTATTACTGCTTATACTCTGTCTTCAACAAAATTAGAGATAAGGGCAAAACAGTTTCTGCCGGGTATTGAGGGGGTGGGGGGAGAAGGAGGGGGCGGAGTGGGTGGTAAGGGAGGGGGTGGGGGCAGGGGGGAGAAATGACCCAAGCCTTGTATGCACATATGAATAATAAAAGGAAAAAAAAAAAAACCCTTTGCCTGTTGGAAAAGAAAAAATATAAGCCAAAGATAAGCAGAAAACCATTGCTTCCACCCAATGCTTCTTTTTTCTTCATAATCCAAAAATTAAGGACGGTTCAAAGTCAAGACCCAAAAGAAGCAGCAGCAGAGATTATCCATGTACCATCCTGGCCTCCAGAGACTGAACTTTGCAGCAGTTTGGGAGCCAGATGCTTTGTTGGCTCTCAGGACAGGTCAGTTGACTGATAGCTTCCAATCCCAGCACTCAAGGAAGCAACAACTTTGAAACTTTTCTATAATATTTCTGTTCCATTTCTTACCAGAGATAATTTTACTGATCCAAATTCTATCCTAAGGACCACTATTGATCTGACAAACTAACATATTTTTGGTTCAAACAAACAAATGGATTTTAGGCAATGTAGTGAGATCTTAAAGGTATGTTAAAGCAGAGAGACCAGAAATTTAAATCCAAATATGCTGGAAGAGAACCATTTCTAGCAGGACTTCCAATTGATGAAATAGGCAAGCGTGTCTAGGGGACAAGTTGAAAATGTGTCTAGGTTCTCAGAGGAAGGGAGGAAAACATGGTCTAAGTTCTGGAAAGTCCTCTGTTCAATTGCCATTATTGTCTCTGATCACTGAAATGGACACTCGCCCTGTGGGGATCTGTACCAGTTCCCACTGGTCCGGGGATCTGCCAGTCAAGAGGTGCACCCTATGGCAAGACAGACATGCATGCCCAAGGATGAACATGGCATCTTTGCTTGCCCTGGTCTTGGGAACACTGCAGAATTTCTTCTCGTAGCCTGCCCCTCTGCAAGCTGACCACCCTGGGCCCAGACACTCTAGGCTATATCCCATAAGGCACTGAAGAATCTGATGCAAGCCCTCAGGAATGGAAGACGTGCACCGCTCGGATCACATACTGCCGGCAGATGGGACATTCATTCATGCGTTTGCCACACTTGATACAGGTCACCATGTGGCCACATTCCAGCAGAACACAGTCAATGGGTGAGTCCATGCAGATCTTACATAGGTTCTCCTCTAGGCCAGATGGCACTGTTTCCCCGTTTTTGTCTTCAGCACCACAGACCAGGTGGTGAAGTCCTTTCTGATCCTTGTACAGCCGCGTCACCCTCTCCATCAGCTCCCACTTCTCACAGCAGCCCTTGTAGTTGACAAAGTTGCGAGCCAGGATCTCTTTCAGCTGCCACACTGTCAGGCCTTCAATGTCCTCCAAGTGGGTAAGGTCAGATAGGGAGGCCCTCCCGCCTGGGACAAAGCCATCCTCTGAGTCCATGGACTGGGTCTCATCCTCAGCAGGTGCTCTGGCTGTGCTCTCCGGGTAGACGGGCTGCTCGTGGTCCTGAGACACATGGCCATTGGCCTGGTTTTCCTGAGCCTGGGCTGGGGGGGGTTGTGCAGGTGAAGGAGGGAAGTTGGGTGAGGTAGGAGGTACTGTGCTGGTGTGAGGCTGGGTCAGGAAGGCCTGCTGCTCAGGGAAGTCTGGGGACAAGGTGGGGGCATGAGTCCTGTCCTCCTCAGAGATTACAGGCTGCTGGCCAAGCACCAAGAACACCAGCTCTTCTTTCTCCCGGCACATTTCAGTAGAGATGTCATGGAGGCTGAGATAGTCCCTCAGGTCCTTCACCTTCATCTTCATGAGCTCCTCTCGCTGAAAGGCTGTAGCTCGGAACCGTTGGCAGAGAAGGCAGAGGCGGGGCCCATTCCGCTCTTGGCTTCCGGGCTGCGGTTGCAAAATGGGCCCCACAGGCCTTGCAGCTTGGCTCAGAGCCTGCTGGGGAAGAAAGGAGCTGTACCCAGGGTTGGAATAGGCTTACGTCCTGGCGCCCTGAGGTGGGGGGACTTCCTCAGGCTGTCCATCCAAGCAGAACCAGTTGCAGCAGGTTGCCCACATGATAAGATCTGCTAGCACCCTGACAGTCTACTGGTTAGAGCTGCAGCCCTCAGCAGCCTCCACACAGACCTAACTTCCGCAGCTCTCAAAGAGCTGATGGTTCCCAGGTCACGTTCAGTGTTAGGAGAAAATGCTGAGTAACAAGTTATGTCGCCTCTTTGGGTCTGTTTCCTCATCTGGATAATAGGAGGGCTGGACCACACTAATCCCTAACGTTTCTTCCGGCTGCCACGGATGCCTGCCCCGCCCGCACCTGGGAGGGGAGGGGAGGGCAGGGGAGAGGAGGGGAGAGGAGGGGAGGGCAGGGCAGAGCAGAGCAGAGCAGAGGCCGTATCTGGGCCGCGGACTCCACCGCCGTGGTGTCTCCGCCGCAGAGGGGCACCGGAGGGCTGTCGCGACATCCTTACCGATGGCCCCAGCCAGGCAAACATTCTTTTGTATATTTTGTTTAGATTGTCATTCTAGGAAAGTAGCAACAATGTCAAACAACCAGGCTTTTACTAAAGCCATTCTATAGGCTTTGGTGAGTCTTAACTATATTTCTAGCAAACTGTTGTGTTAGGCCATAGCTCAGATGTTTTTATTGCTATGGGGTTAATGTTAAATTGAGCTCCTATAAACTGACTCGGCACAATCATCACATCAAAATACTAACACGCATTATTGAAATAATTTTTTTATGAAATAAATTCTCTTTCCACTCCAATTAGCATTTCTGATAGAGACTAACATTCTTCTAATGCTAAATTTTTTTAAAATGTTTTATTTCCTTTTTTCTCTCTGAATTTTTCTTGAATGATTATAGGGAAATAATATATTTGAAAAAAGATTACTAATTTGATGATCATTAAATATTTAAAGTTCATCAATAGTTCAATCATCTAGAAGACCTATTTTTGTTTTCCCACATGATGCATGACTCTATCAAATACCATGTCACCATATACTGATACAGTCAACTCAATCTGTAGCAACAATCATTTGCTATTTATTGTGCATTAACGATAAAGTGTTAATAGTATTTTAAAACATCCTTCTTTAAATGACTCTATTATTGAGGATAGCATACAACATAGATAACGTGATTTAAAAATATTCTGGATACCAAACAGAACAAATGTAAAACATAATTATTACCTCCCATTTGAACCAGTTTAAAATGTTCAAGTAAATAAGTCTATTTCCTTGTACTCGGTAAGAAAATCAGAAGAATCATACTGATTTTTCTAATAACTGAATTTCCAGAAGGCCCTTATTCAAGATATGATTAGTTATCAGTTTGTCACTTATATATTAACAGTTCTAAGTAGAACATTATATATGGCAAAAAATAGCTTTAAAATGTAACCTGTGTGCAGTTCAATAGGAATACAAAGTTGTTAATGGTGTCTATAGTTTGTACCATCAGACTACTACACATTTAGGAGAATGAGGACTTTAAAAACTGAAACTTTTAGTATAATACAAAACCAAAAGGGTCAAAACCTTTGTGTCCTTTTAGAACTAGAGACTATGTTTTAAATTACTTTTAGCCTTCAAGAGGGAGAAGTGATTGGTATGTGCCAGATAATATGGCATACTGAGGAAGAGACATTTATTTTATACTCACTATCTCCTTGGTATTCAATAAACTTACATCCATTATTTAATACAAAGAATGTTCAAAATGACCCTGTGAGGGCACATTGATAACTAATAGCCATTACTAAATATCTTCTTGGCATGTATCAAGCAAATCATACACAGCCCCTGATCTCTTTCAGTTTGTAAGATGTAGATAGCCACATTTCCACTTCCTTGTTTCCTCTTAGATGTTGCTTTACTGTGACAATATATATGTATATCTAAATTTGTACTTTTAGAAACTACCAACAAGGTTGTTTGATTTTTAACAACCTTGAATTTTTTCAAAATTTCAGTTTACTGAAAAAAAATGCATGCTGCAAAGTGAGTAGAAGGGTAGTCAGTGTAAGAATTCAGAGGCTTTGAAATTTAGAAAATGCTTCCTTATGTCTAGATTCTAAATTATTTTACCAATCTAATTAATTGAACCTGACATAAATCAGTTTCCCTCCTTAGTCATTTATGATGCCAGTACAAAGTAAAACAATTTAATAGGAGAGTATCATTTTCCCAAGCAATTATGTAAGCAACAATATCTCTAAAATGAAATGTTTTATGCCATGATGATCAGCAAGAGAGAAGGTATACGTTTAGTTGAACAAAATAAAAAATGGATTAAGGCATGTAAGAAAAAGAAAAATCAAAACTCTGCTGGGGAGAAAACACTCATGCCTGAATCTTGCAACTCAAAATATAAATGAGCAAGAATCCAAGTTTAAATTCTTTATTCCAGTAGACCTTCTTTATTTCTCTTTCATAGCTAAAGATTATTTAGATTTCATAGAAGTTTGAGATGGCAAAGACATAAAATATGAACTGTGATCAACTATGATTGCTAAGTTTCACTGTAAGCTACTGTAGCATGGAGGAGAACCAGAAGACAGACAGGCTGCGTTCTGATAAAGTAGCAGAGGGAAGGGATGGCATAGCAAAGAGATAAAATCTACAGAATCTAAGCGTGAAGACAGTCACATAGCACTAGGGGTAGAACTAGGGTAAAGTAGCCTATAGAATTGCATATAACCATATATAGGTTAAACCTTGTTTTTTGTTTTTTTTTTTAAATTTTATTGCCTCTTAACCTGTTTGCAAGGGTACATAAGGTGAAACCTCTTTGTTCTTGGGGCTCAGCCTTTGGACACAAATCCACTGAGTCTGTGCTGGCACAATAAAGGGTTGCTTCTTTGGCCTCAGAGTCCTATGTCTGTGTACAAGTTCCCTATAATATTTCTTGGGGGTTCGTTGCCGGGATTGCAGAGACTGTGATTTTTTTCACCACCCTTGTTGCCAGGGTGCATCCCTCAGAGTACTGGGAGAAGTGATCCACCAGGCACCAAAGGACAGCTTGATCCAGAGGATGGCTTCATCCTCCCAGCAAGTCTAGGTGAGGGCCTCCAACACACAGCAGAACCCAGTGAGGTGCAGGAACCAGAGAGGGGAGCACTGGTTATCAGACTGGTAAGAACCCAGGTTCAAATAATAGGCCTGCCTTTGGGAGGCAGAAGGGGAGACTAATCACCTTCCAGAGACTCCTAGTAACTGCCTTTTGGGGTAAAACTGTGTCTCCCAGGTTCAGGGAGTGGTTTGGAAGTACTGTGCTGTGTGAGAGTGTGTGAAAGTGTGGGCCTGAGATGCAGTCCAGCTGTGAAGCAAGTGAGGAGTCCCAAACCATGGGTCACGGCGAACTCATATGGTCAAGGGTGAGACTTAATGGGGCCTTCTGTCTGGGGTTTATGCAGACTCACTATGGCCAAAGAGACACCTAAATCCCCATGAGGGGATCTGCCAGAGATGGACAAAGCAAGTGAGGACTCTGTGTAGGTGCATTTCCTGGCCAGGCAATGGCGACCAGACAAGGGGCATGTTTGTTCTCCCTTGCGTGTTGGAGAAGAGGACCCCTTACTTCTCCTCCAAAACCTCTTTCCTCTGTGTCTGTTTTGCCATCTGGTAATTGGAGGAGATAGATGGAAATCAGAGAAAAACACTCCTTTGGAGTGTATGGTTAAAAACTTTAAAAGGGGATTTAATGGAGACTATGGAGTTAACTCCTAACAAGTTTAAGGTCTTTGTGAAGTAGATTGGCCTGCTCTTGGTATAGCATGGCCCCTGGGAGGATCATTAGATAAAGCTGTGGTTAATGAAGTTTATAGGGTAATTGTAGAAAGGCCTGGGCACCTGGATCAATTTCCTTTTATTGAATGCTGGCAGGATGCTGTCCTCAGCTGGCCCACCTGGCTAAGACCCTGTCTGGAAGAGGCCTGTAGAATTATTGTAGCTAGAGTACCTGCAACTTCCAAGTTTAGGGAGAAAACAAAGGAGCTGGATGAGGAACCTGAGGAAATATCACCACCTTATGTGCCACTCTATCCACCTCTGCCACCAGCACCCAGTTCCACACTCCTGCCTCCAACATTGGATAGAGAAGCTCAGGGAACAGTCACACCTGTAAAATCTGGTTTGGAAGCCTCTGGGGCCTTGACTCCCTTGACCTCCCTGAGTCCAATGGACCCCATACCCACTCTGAGTCCACCAGTACTCACTCCACTCTGTGGAGTCTTCTCTGTGAGGATCCCTCCTCTCCTCAGACTCCTGCTGCCCTGCACATGCCTGAGGGAAGCCCAGAGCCCATGTATTATGACCAGGAAGGCCAAATACAAGGAGGAGGATGAGTATTTGTCTATCAGCCCTTTAACACCATAGATCGCCTCAACTGGAAACACCCTACCCCCTCCTTCACAGAAAAGCCTCAGGTTCTTATTGATTTGATGCAGTCTATCATCCAGACTCACAAACCCGCCTGGACAGACTGTCAGCAGCTTCTTTTGGCTCTATTTACTACTGAAGAGTGGTGCCATATAACATTGTCAGCTCTAAAGTGGCTGGAAGATCAATGCCCCTAAGGGCACTCTAAATCCCCAACTATATGCTCAGGCCCATTTCCCCAAGGAAGACCCACACTGCCAGCGACATGAACAGTATCAGGAGGCATTATTGGGAGGCATGAAGGAAGGAGGGAAAAGGCCATGGACATGAGCAAAACATCAGAAGTCCTCCAAGTGCCAGATGAGAGTCCCAGCCAGTTCCATGAGCATTTATGTGAGGCATCCCATATGTACACCCACTTTGACCCAGAAGCCACTGAAAACCAGCAGATGATAAATGCCACTTTTGTTGGACAGGCCCTGGGAGACATAAGGTAAAAATGCAGAAACTGGAGGGATTTGCTGGAATGAATGCTAGCCACCTTCTGGAGGTGGCCACAAAGGTTTCTGTCAATCAAGATCAGGAGGCTAAGTAGGAGGCCAACAGAAAGATGAAAAGGAAAGTGGACCTCCTTACAGCAGCTCTTGTTGGACAGTCAGATGGGCCCTGGCAAACTAATC